TGAGGACTATAGATGCAGTGGTGGTTGAGTAACGTTGAGGACCATAGATGCAGTGGTCAGGTAACACTGAGGAGCGTGAGACACAGTGGTCGAGTAACACTGAGGAGCGTAGATGCAGTGGTCGGGTAACATTGAGGAGCATAGACGCAGTGGTCGGGTAACATTAAAGAGCATAGACACAGTGGTCGGGTAACACTGAGGAGCGTAGACACAGTGGCCGGGTAACACTGAGGAGCATAGACGCAGTGGTTGGGTAACATTGAGGACCATAGATGCAGTGGTCAGGTAACGTTGAGGAGCGTAGATGCAGTGGTCGGGTAACGTTGAGGAGCGTAGATGCAGTGGTCGGGTAACGTTGAGGAGCGTAGATGCAGTGGTCGGGTAACGTTGAGGAGTGTAGATGCAGTGGTCGGGTAACGTTGAGGAGCGTAGATGCAGTGATCGGGTAATGTTGAGGACCGTAGATGCAGTGGTCAGGTAACGTTGAGGACCGTAGATGCAGTGGTCGGTAACGTTGAGGAGCGTAGATGCAGTGGTCGGGTAACGTTGAGGACCGTAGATGCAGTGGTCGGGTAACGTTGAGGAGCGTAGATGCAGTGATCGGGTAACGTTGAGGAGCGTAGATGCAGTGATCGGGTAACGTTGAGGAGTGTAGATGCAGTGGTCGGGTAACGTTGAGGAGCGTAGATGCAGTGGTCGGGTAACGTTGAGGTAGATGCAGTGGTAACGTTGATGCAGTGATGCAGTGGTCATGTAACGTTGAGGAGTGTAGATGCAGTGGTCGGGTAACGTTGAGGACCGTAGATGCAGTGGTCGGGTAACGTTGAGGACCGTAGATGCAGTGGTCGGGTAACGTTGAGGAGTGTAGATGCAGTGGTCGGGTAACGTTGAGGAGCGTAGATGCAGTGGTCGGGTAACGTTGAGGAGTGTAGATGCAGTGGTCGGGTAACGTTGAGGAGCGTAGATGCAGTGGTCGGGTAACGTTGAGGACCGTAGATGCAGTGGTCGGGTAACGTTGAGGAGTGTAGATGCAGTGGTCGGGTAACGTTGAGGAGCGTAGATGCAGTGGTCGGGGTAACGTTGAGGAGCGTAGATGCAGTGGTCGGGTAACGTTGAGGAGCGTTGAGATGAGTGTCGGGTAATGTTGAGGACCATAGATGCAGTGGTCGGGTAACGTTGAGGAGTGTAGATGCAGTGGTCGGGTAACGTTGAGGAGTGTAGATGCAGTGGTCGGGTAACGTTGAGGAGCATAGATGCAGTGGTCGGGTAACGTTGAGGAGCGTAGATGCAGTGGTCGGGTAACGTTGAGGAGTGTAGTAGATGCAGTGGTCGGGTAACGTTGAGGAGTGTAGATGCAGTGGTCGGGTAACGTTGAGGACCGTAGATGCATGCAACGTTGGGACCGTAGATGCAGTGGTCGGAACGAAATTTTAATGCAGCAGATGATACACATCATGTTACTTCCCTTCCACATCAGAAGATGTCCAGCAGTGCCATCAGCACAGAACTGGCACAACCAGTGGGACCCGGGTACCCCCATCTACTGTCCGGAGAAGTCTGACCAGAAATGGTCTTCATGGAAGAATTGTGGACAAAAAGCCATCAACCTCCTACATGGAAACAAGGCTAAGCCACTCAACTATGCCGGAAAACATAGGAACCGGGGTGCAGAAAAATGGCAGCAAGTGCTCCGGTCTGATGAGTTGAAATGTGAAATATTTGGCTGTAGCAGGAGCCAGTTTGCTGGGGGAAGGGCTGAAGAGCGGTACAATAATGAGTGTCTGCAGACAACTGTGAAGCATGGTGGAGCTTCCTTGCAAGTTTGGGATTGCATTTCTGCAAATGGAGTTGGAGATTCCGTCAGGATCAATGGCCTCATCAATGTTGAGAAATACAGACAGATACTTGTCCATCTTGCCATACCATCAGGGAAGCGTGTGATTGGCCCCAAATTTACTCTGCCACAGGACAACCACCCCAAACATACAGCCAACATCAATAAGAACTATCTTCAATGTACAGATGAACAAGAGGTCCTGGAAGTGTTGGTTTGGCCCCGCCAAGCCCTGATCTCACCATCAAGGAGTCTGTCTGGGATGATATGAAGAGGCAGAAGGATTGGAGGCGGCCAACATCCACAGAAGATCTGGGCTTAGTTCTCCAAGATGTCCATAGAGCAACCTACCTGCCGAGTTCCTTCACTGGGTGCAAGTCTACCTAGAAGAAGGCAAAGGGGGGGGAGGGGTCACACCAAATATTGATTGGATTTCTTTTCTCTTCATTTACTTTCAATTTTGTTAATTGATAAAAAATAAACTATTAACACTTCGATTTCTGAAAGACTTCTTCATTTACAGCATTTCTTTTTCATAACTGCTGAAAACCTTTGCAGAGTAGTGTATATATTTGTATATATGTATAATAAAATGATTGCACTGAATAGGCCACACCCATTATAGATGAAAAAAAGACATTTAGAGGATGTGTTTGTAACCAAACCCCTACCAGCCCCTCCCACCAGCCATACTGTATGAGGGGGAGGAACAAAGAAAGGCAACATTTAAGCAGATTAAACCCCAGCTTTACATTTTCCTTTCAACCTGCTGTCATGAATTAATAAAACAAGAAAAATGAAATGTCCCTTCCTTGTGGTCTGGTCACTAGCAGAAGACCAGATATCCCACAATCCTATTCCTCCTGCTCCAGTCATTGGTTGACCCAGAATTCTGGATGTAAAACCTGTGAGCAATAAAAGTGGTTTCTATGTCTAGAGTGGACATCCCTGGAATGGTTCTATTTTCAGCCTTAGGGTGTTCAAAGGGTCCTGCCATACCGCACTTCAACAAATCATTAGTGCCAACTGTGAGCTCTGTAGGTGGAACTCCAGGAGAAAGGACCAGCTGTTACAAAGTTCACTAGGTGTCAGAGCCTGGGTCCAAACCTGGGCCTTCTGCAGTGAGGGGCAATGTTTCTTCTTGCTGAGCCACCTGGAATGCTGGACACCTCCCTTGACAATTATTTGGATGATCCTACCTTGACCTCGTTTGTCATGAACCTTGAACCCCTTGCTCCTCCCATGAACTTCCTGCTATAAGCCATGTCTCTGCACTTCCTGTTTGCCAGATTATTGTGCTCTCCAGCAAGTATTGTGCTCCTTGCCTTCTCTGCTGTTATCCATATTTACTACCACTCGTTATTGACCCTTGGCTTGTTCTCGACTACGCTTCTGCCTGATCCCAACCCGCGACTGCTCATTACCGACCTTGGCTTGTTTACTGACCACGTTTCTGCCTGATCCCATCCTGCGACTGCTCATTACCGACCTTGGATTATTCTTGACTATGCTTCTGCCGATCCCAACTTGCGACTGCTCATTACCGACCTTGGCTTGTTCTCGACTACGCTTCTGCCTGATCCCAACCTGCGACTGCTCCTTACCGACCTTGGCTTGTTCTCGACTACGCTTCTGCCCGATCCCAACCTATGACTGCTCATTACCGACCTTGGCTTGTTTACTGACCACGCTTCTGCCTGATCCCAACCTGCGACTGTTCCTTACCGACCTTGGCTTGTTCTCGACTACGCTTCTGCCTGATCCCAACCTGCGACTGTTCCTTACCGACCTTGGCTTGTTCTCGACTACGCTATTGCCCGATCCCAACCTGCGACTACTCCTTACCGACCTTGGCTTGTTTACTGACCACGCTTCTGCCTGATCCCAACCTGCGACTGTTCCTTACCGACCTTGGCTTGTTCTCCACTACGCTTCTGCCTGATCCCAACCTGCGACTGCTCATTACCGACCTTGGCTTGTTCTCCACTATGCTTTTGTCTGATCCAAACCTGCGACTGCTCCTTACCGATCTTGGCTTGTTCTCGACTACGCTTCTGCCTGATCTCAACCTGCGACTGCTTCTTATGGACCTTGGCTTGTTCTTGACTACGCTTCTGCCTGATCCCAACCTGTGACTGCTCCTTACCGACCTTGGCTTGTTCTCGACTACGCTTCTGCCTGATCCCAACTGTGACTGCTCATTACCGATGTCAGGAACCATCGCGACGCATGGGTCTACACATGCGTAGGTGTCTGCCGAGACGTATAGGTGGCAGGGCACTAGGACCCAGGCGCACCCGTCGTCTGGACAGTACTAGGCAGGCACTGGGACCCAGGCTAAGCCTGTCAGGTGCAGGGCGGGCTATTTAAACTAGCCCTGCACAGACACTTGTTGCCGAATGGTCTTTGTATCCTGTTACCTGTGTGTGAGTACATCTGATCTGGATTGTTTTGACCTTGTTGCCTTCTCCCATCCTGACCCCTTGGCTTGCCTGACTCTGCTCCTGGATGTTCCCGTTTAGATCTGACCTCCTGGTATTGACCCTGCGTGTGACCCGACTATCCTTTGCCTACCGTTTTGTACCTTACCGATCCGCTAGTTACCGACCCGGCCTGCATGACTCTGATTTAGCTCATCCATCCACCCACCCCGCAGGGATCACTAGGCTCCCTTACATCAGACTCCTAGCTCTCTGGAGCCCCTGTCAGACTCCTCTACCCCTGTTGGAGATACCTGGTAGTTGCAACCTGGTACCGGAGCGCTCCAAGTCCATCCCCACCATCAGGGGCCCTGGTGAACAAGTGCTCCGGTGCTTAGACTCCGCACTCTGGGGAGGCTCTACCAGGGGACTGATAGAGGTGCTGTCAGGCAGTCCGTTACGGCTTGTTTACTGACCGACCTTGGCTTGTTTGCTGACCACGCTTCTGTCTGATCCCAACCTGCGACTGCTCATTACCGACCTTGGCTTGTTCTCGACTACGCTTCTGCCTGATCCCAACCTGCGACTGCTCATTACTGACCTTGGCTTGTTCTCCACTACACTTCTGCCTGATCCCAACCTCGTCTGCTCATTACCGACCTTGGCTTGTTTACTGACCACGCTTCTGCCTGATCCCAACCTGCGACTGCTCATTACCGACCTTGGCTTGTTCTCCACTACACTTCTGCCTGATCCCAACCTCGTCTGCTCATTACCGACCTTGGCTTGTTTTGACTGACCACGCTTCTGCCTGATCCCAACCTGCGACTGCTCCTTACCGACCTTGGCTTGTTCTCCACTACGCTTCTGCCTGATCCCAACCTGCGACTGCTCCTTACCGACCTAGGCTCCCTTACCAGTGGCTTGTTCTCTACTACGCTTCTGCCTGATCCCAACCTGCGACTACGCCTTACCGACCTTGGTTTGTTCTCGACTACTCTTCTGCCTGATCCCAACCTGCGACTGCTCATTACCGACCTTGGCTTGTTTACTGACCATGCTTCCATTTGATCCTTACCTGCTTAATACGCTACTGGACCTCTGTTTGCTCACCTCCTGGTGGGGTGATCCTGAGGACCGCGACCTGGTGCTAACATGCAGCAAAATCCATCTCCACCATCAGGAGCTCTGGTGAACACCGGTTGGTACTTAGAATCCGCACCTTGGGTGAGCACACTCCTCCACCACAGTGACCTACCTGTGTACTTATCCTGCTGGTTTCAGGTGAGCCTTTCCACTGCTATAGCAACTGGTCTTTGAGCCTGACCCCTGATTGTGACATTAGGAAAGGGGCCAAAAGTAGTTGGCAAGAAGCTCCTCAGGGTTTTTCTGCTGCTTTACTGTCCAATCAGTATGCAGTGGGCGTGTTCTTCACCAAGATGTGCTGCTGAAGGAGTAGTGGTCAGGGACTTGGACATTCTTTTCAGCAGTTTATCTTGTGTAACTTTAATTTTTACACATTTTATTTATTTTTTTTACTGAACTTTATTTTTTATCACATAAGAGACAGGCTTTTTTTTGTGATAGGTTCTCTTTAATGAGACATTGAGACAGCGCAGATGACCTCCCCCCGTGTATACAGAACAGGACATTTCTATTCTCTCCCATTTTTCTATGACAATTCTCCTTACAGACACAGAAAATAGAAAGCCAAGGCTGTTCTGTGTTTTGTTCCTCGAGTTCCCGGCATCGTGTGCTTTATTTGGTGTCCTAAAAGGACTTTGGAGATAATGTCAGCATTCTGATGGTAATTGTCGGAGTGGCCAATCACGCGGCATTATCCCGCTTAATTACTGACTCGCTGGCTTAGCAAGCAGCTCTTCACTCTTTGAGTCATCGGAGCCGATTCAGTGGCATTTGAGCTGCTGAGGGGGCCCGTCCCTGTTGACTCACCTGCAATCAGCAGTCATTTTCCTCCGAAGAGTGGGAGAGCCAGTGGAGGTAGCGAGGAGAAGTCAACGGTTTTCTACTACGTCAGAGGCAAAGCATCCACACAATAGAAGTGTGAGCCTTCCGTCTACTCTCTGCATGGCTCTCCCATAATCATCCAATGAAGTCACTCCGGATTCCTTTTATGGAAATCTTCTAATGGGCTCCACCGCATGTCACCATCTCGGCTCAGGCGGCTTCCAACATATTTCAGGGAAAACACACAGCACATCGAGGTGGGAAATGTTCTACAAGATGGAAGTTTTTTGTTTTTTTTTTAGGCAGAACTTTTTTCTTAATTTTCACCAGAGTCAGATTTTATTTGCCATAAAGAAAAAAATATATACTTAGGGTAGATACAACACTCTAACCATGAAAACAAAAATGTAAACAGCTTAACATTTGTTATTGAACAATAAATATAGAAACCAGACCAACCATCACTCATCTGGGATGTGCGCCCATGAGAAGCTTCCTTTACGAGAAACTTTTGGATGAGTTTCCTTCATGAGAAGATTTTGGATGAGTGTCCTTCATGGGAAGTTTTGGATGAGTGTCCTTTATGGGACGTTTTGATTGAGTGTCCTTCATGGGACGTTTTGGATGAGTGTCCTTTATGGGACGTTTTGGATGAGTGTCCTTTATGGGATGTTTTGATTGAGTGTCCTTTATGGGACGTTTTGATGGAGTGTCCTTCAAGAAAGTTTTTTGGATGAGTGTCCTTCATGGGAAGTTTTTTGGATGAGTGTCCTTCATGAGAAGCTTTTGGATGAGTGTCCTTCTTTGGAAGGTTTTTGATGAGTGTCCTTCATGGGACGTTTTTTGGATGAGTGTCCTTCATGGGAAGTTTTTTGGATGAATGTCCTTCATGAGAAACTTTTGGATGAATGTCCTTCATGGGAAGTTTTGGATGAGTGTCCTTCATGGGAAGTTTTGGATGAGTGTCCTTCATGGGAAGGTTTGGATGAGTGTCCTTCATGGGAAGTTTTGGATGAGTGTCCTTCATGGGATGTTATGGATTAGTTTACCTTTATGGGATGTTATGTATTGGTGTCCTTTATGGGATGTTATGGATTAGTGTCCTTTGTGGGACATTTGAATTAGTGTCCTTTGTGGGACATTTGAATTAGTGTTCTTCATGAGAAACTTTTGGATGAATGTCCTTTATGAGAAGTTTTGGATTAGTGTACTTCACAGGAAGTTTTGGTTGAGTACTCTTCATGATAACTTTTTGGATGAGTGTGCTTCACAGGATGTTTTGCTTTGAGTACACTTCATGAGAACTTTGTTGGATGAGTATCTTTTATGGAAAGTTTTGGAAGTGTGTCCTTCATGAGAAGTGTTTGGAAGAGTGTCCTTCTGGAGAAGCTTTTGGATGAGTGTATGAGAGGTTTTGGATGAGTGTGCTTCACAGGATGTTTTTGTTGAGTACTCTTCATGAGAACTTTTTGGATAAGTTCTTCATGAAAAGTTTTTCTATGAGTGACTTTCATGGAGGTTTTCATTGAGTGTCTTTCGTGGGATGATTTTGCTGTGTTTCCTTCATGAGATGTTCTGGATGGTTGTCCTTCCTGAGAAATTTTTACTTTCTTCCATTTGTATAGGGATGACTGTTCAGTCCAAACATCAAACATAAGATCAAACATTTAGGTCTTGGATGAACATGACCCTTTAAAAAAGGGGTGGATATTTGGGGGGGGGGGGGCATAAATGCCTAAATATGGCCATGGTCACATATGGTCAATGTCTTTGCCTAAATACGGCCATGTGGCCATACTTGGTCAGTGGTGTCATGGTATCCCTGCCCTTTGTTTACATGGCCAGGGATTCCCAGCCAGTAAATGAAACTATAGTGTCCTGGTAATGAAAGGTACTCAAGTGGTTTAGTAATCCCAATATTGGACACCTACTATTATCTTGGAGGACCATACTCCTCACACTGTGTTTCTTTAAGAGGAGATAACTCTGCTGTCTCCTAATGCCCTCCTATTACAATAATGATTCCAGCTTCAAGTATGGCTACAGAGCCGATGCAACTTCAAAATGAAAAGAAATATTCTGCTGAATGGATTAGCCATGCGTCCGCTGCATAGACGCAGCTGTATTTTCCACAATACAGAAGAATATACACAGTTCTCATTCCAGTGAAATGTTGTGTTTCCTATCGAAACAAAGACACTGTCTTTTGTGAAGTGAAGAAAACTTGAGGGCCACATAAGGTGAAAGACACACTTTAAGTTAATTAAATACAAACAGTGGGGGATTCTATACAATCACCGCCCGCTCCCCCACTCTCATCTTACCGCTGCAATGACATGTAAATCTAAATAACGGGGAAGAGCTTTTGCTGCATGTTGTAATCAAACACAAAGCATGCAAACACTCCAGATCTCGGGTAACCTTCATAGAAATAAAAGGATACACATGTGGTGAAGTGGGATAAGAAGGGTGGGGGAGCGAAGACGGGATAAAGGAAGGAAAGGTGGAGGGAGAAGTCGGGATAAAGAAAAGTGGCTCAGGGCGGGGATACGACTGTGCCAGGGGCAGACTGACAACTCATGGGGCCCCCGGCAATAGGGGATCATGGGGCCCCTGTGTCCTTGCCCAAACTCACAAAAGCCTATGAAAAAGGTACCAGGGGCATCTCATGGGGCCCCCTACTGACCCCGGGCTCTCAAGCAGTGCCCGAGTTTCCAAATGGTCAGCCCGCCCCTGGACTGTGCTAACATGGGACTGCTAGGCATGAGGTGAAGGTTTGCTCCAAACATGAACTCTGACCAAATGTTTGCTGGTCAGCTGGTGGTGTTTTTCTCTATCCATGGACATCATGATTGACTTAAATCTACATTTCTGGACTTTGTGATTGATGGTGATGCACTATGTTGGACATTTTTGTCTTTTTTTAAAAGGATTTGTCAAAAGCTGTATGTTTTTGTTTTTTTTTTACTTAATTTTTTAGCTTTTTACTCCTTTTTTTGTGAATGAGTAGGGGTATTATGTACCCCTTATTCATTTACATAGGGGTAAGGGCAATATGTGGGAGCCCTCTTATGTAAAAGGGGGTCTCCCAATTCCAAAAAGCCCTCCACCTGACCAGGGTTGTAGGGAAGAGTCCCTTGTCCTCATCAACAAGGTTCTTTGCCAAAGGGGGGTCCTGAAGTGATGGACGTTGACAAGGATCCAAGAAAACAGAGCACAAGCCAATAACTGAGTTTGACAGAGAGAGTAGGGATGGGCAGCAGGGTGTGGCTCCAAACAGTCTATGGAAGATACAGATATGCTGTGTCTTTGCACATGTTGCGCTACCCCCGTAGGGGTCTTTGGTATTAACTGGTTCTTCCCTAAAGGTACAGAGGTTGCCCATCACCAAAAAATTCCATTCACAACGTCTCCAATAACTCAATCGAGGGAATGTCTTTTAAGATCTATTGCCTGAAGAAATTTTAACAGGGGGGGGTTGGGACATGTGATACTGCAAAATGATTAGCATGTGAGCGGTGGTCAGCGTGGTGGTCTGTTGCGTGGGGTGCAACTAGGTCCCTTGGGAGAGCACAGCCATCCGGAACCACTTACAAAACTCAAAGCACTTGTCCTGTAGTTTAGAGCGATGCTGACTGCGTCTGCAGTGAGGAGTGGGAGTGCGTCCTGGCTTGTCCAACCCAATATGGAAGCTTCTCCAAAGAGGAAGTCGCAGTCCATGCTCTTTCCCTACTCCTCCGGAAACCTTCCCTGCCGCTGAGTGCTGTCCCTAACAGGGGACAACCTGTCCTTGCTCTAGCCGTTCGCACCAAATCAGGGGGCCAGGGGCTTAAATAAGATTTGCCCTCACCCAGGATGGAAAAAAGGAAGATCTGTGTCCTCCAGTTGCCACTAAAAGTTACCGGAGTATCCCACAGTTATCCTGAACCTAACCAAGTTCACATTCTACAATAAAGCATACCCCTAGACTGCTCATTGGGCCAAAGGAGTGACTACAACTGTGTGCCTGGCTGTGGGGCACCTGCGGAACCCTAAAACTGCAGGCTCCTGGGGCAGGGAGCGCTACCTGTGCATGTGAAGAGGAGGGACCTGTAAGAACTCTTTGTAGGCAAAGATTGCACGCGCTGTAGGAGAAATGAGCAAGGGATGATGGGACATGTAGTCCCCAGGTCACGGGGTTGAGATGTCAATTCTCAGCCAGAAGTTCAGGGAAGCAGAGAAGGAGACAGCAGCCGTCAAGTTTCGGAAAGGTAAAAAACTAATTTGGAAACAATGTTTGAAAAATGAATCAGAAAGTGCAGCTAGAAGATCATTGACTTATTGATGAGGTTTAACCCTTTTACTACCACCATGGCAACCTTTACAGCAG